ACTAAGATTGGGTTAAATGAACTGAAAGCTGGTGCATTACAGTATTTAGCAAGAAATTTAATTTGCTGGTTTTGTGTTTTGACAGTAATAAGAAAACGCTTCAAGTCATCTTGGATTTGACGGCACATTATGGTGAGATTCTTTAAGCAATTTACCAGAAGTATAGTATAGTTGTTTGAAGAGTATTTCAGAGTGACTTTCTGGTGAGGCACTGGGTAGGTGTCATATCTGTGCGTGTAGGTGGGTCAGAGAAATCGCCAAGGTGTTTCCACCCTCTCCAAGTATTTTTTTCTTTCTATCTACAAGCCTACTACTAGCAATAAAAAAGAGAAAAGATAGTGCACTTTAATGATTAATGTTATCATACTTGTCTGTTATGTCTATTACATCCAAATCGTAATTGATCTCCAGCAAGTAAGAAATGGGCCCCTTCCCCTCCGCATAGCAAAAAATGGTCTTAAGTGTGCATGATCAGTTCAACTTCTGCCTAGTAACAAACAAATATTAAGAAAGGCTTGGATTGACAACTTGCCAAAGTTTATCCTTTATGGGTTTAATGACATTGAGGCTCTCATGATTAAGAGGGTTTCGATCATAACTTAGCCTCACTTTTCTCAATGATGCAAGTAAATGTTTTTATGTTTCCAAAGATAATTGATGACATTGCAAACCTATCACTTATTATTTAAATTTAAATTACTTGACATTTATTATTTTAAATTTGAATTATTAATAGTGATTGACTTGAACTTTTATAAAAAATTTTAAGAATCAATTCATATCAAATCAAATGTAGGGGGGATATAGCATAATCCTGAAGTGTTCTAAGGGGTAAATCACTTAAGTTGCCACAAAATCCAAACTCTTTTCGCGTGTAACTCGTTAGGCTGTAGCTACTGCATATATCTGGTTAGATCTTTGCTGTCAAACTTCATGACTTCTAAAACTAGCAATATCTTCTAGTTTTTTTAAAGTCCATCCATGTCAGTCTTACTTTGGTTGGGCATACCCACAGGCCACAAAGGGATTAGGTAGAAAGAAAGACCTTTTTTATATATTGAGGGAGGGGAAAGGAACCAAAAGCCTCGAAGATAGTGGAAAAGAGGAACTAAGAAGCACCAAAAGTAAAGGGTTTTCAGATTTGTGAGTACTGAGTACTTTTTTTTTTTTGCTCTTTGATGGAAATGTCAATGCATTGGAGTTAGGAGTCGAGGCATATTCCCTGTTGCAATATATGACTTTGATAAAAGGGTTCAAAAGCAAAAGTTACGGTTAGTGGAACTGTGGGAGAAAGCAAGCTACTTCATTTCTATCTCTTTGATTCATCAAGTCACTCACATACCATATAGCTTCACTTTCCCTTTCCTCCTATGTCTTGTCTCTCATTCCACGTTGAAACCTTGGGTCAAATTTAAGTTCCTGATCAGCTCCCAGCAAGACCAGGGTAGCAGGTCAATTCTAACGTTCATTGGACAGTCTATAGTGGAGTTGTGATACATTTGCCATTATTAGTATCAATGAAAACCAACGTAAAGTTGAAAGTTTTGTGTTGCTTTTGCAGCTTTAATTTTGGGAAAACTGAACTCTTTTGATAGCGATGCAAACAATTTCGCCTTCGACATATTGCTTAGAATTACAAAATTCAAGGTTTGAAAAAATGGAACTTTATCAAGAATAGAATAATGTTAGATCATTATTGAGTACATATTTTAAAGAGTCAGGAATAAGAGTTGGACTGCATAGAAGTGGAATCATATCTGAAAGGGGGCCATGCATGCAAATAAAGAAAGAAAGGACCAGGCGTGGAAGCCTTGGAGTATTCACGCCACTACACCGGGCTTTAAAGAGACAAAAAAATCCCAAATACCAAAGAAATCCAGCAGGCTGCAGGGGTAACTGCTAAGTCAACATAACACTAGTTCCTCCAATAAATACATGGACCAAGTATCTACCTATTGTGTTATATAAATATATTTTTACTGTAAATTGTGGACATATTGCCGGAGAAAACAGCCAAAACTTGGTGAAGGAAGAGACCAAATTTATTGGTGAAGTTCCCGATGCATTGCCAGATTTAAGTTCCACTTCGAAGTTCCCACCATGCTTTTCAAATGGGGTGAAAAATTTGGGTTCCTGCTGGGGGCTTCTATGCAATGTTGATGGCTTTCAGATGCATGTGTTTGTGTTTTATGGGTCTCGTTATCCGCTCAGGCTCACAAAGCAGGCTTGCCACAGGTCGCGTTTAGGTATAGTGTTTAACACTTGAGTTCTAGCAACTGGTATTGACTCGGAAGAATGGGCTTTGCTTTGAAAGCCATTTACCGCTCGTCAAGATAAGAGGAGAAGCGCCATCCCTCTCTTATCCCCCATCCAGAAAAGAGAAAGCTCTTTCCGATGGATTAATGCAATGAATGCGCCAAAACCTGTTGTTTGGTTCTTTTCAGCTGCGAGAGGGCAGCAAAGGAAGACATTGGTCACTGTCTCGGTGAGTACAATGTTAGAAATGATGTGCAAATGTCTAAAATTATGGACCACAAAATCTACATATTGATTGCAACTTTAAAGTCTCACATATAACAAAATTTAATGCCAACCACCAAGTACCCATTGGAGGGGAATTTTGTTCCAATAGTGATGTTTTTCTGGTTGAATTCATTTCTCATGTTTTTAACCATTTAGGGTATTCTCTTAAAGACAACATTTACCTAATAATAATGATAATAATAATAATTATTATTATGATATATATTTATATATACATACACCTTAAAAGACATATTTTAGGAGGACTGTTAAAAAAGATTTTGCATTTAATACACTAGGAACAATCATATTCAAGGTACCAAGCTTATTAACTGTGTGAATCTTTTTTTAAAAAAAATGGTGATTAAATCGGTGCCACAAATCCCAAATGATAAATAAATAATCAAGACAATAAAATATAAGTTAATTTGAAATTTGATATTCGAATTATAGTCAAATTATAGATTTGATACATAAAGTTTTAATATTGGTACTTAAGCACTAAATTTTGTTTTTATCTATCAATTTACAAATAAGACTAACACAATTAATCAAATAGATGATGTGTCCAAAAACAATAAATAAACACATTAATATCACATGTTATAATTTTATTACATGTTTTGGACATGTTATCAATTTGACAAACAATGTTAGCCATGTGCGTAAACTAATACACGAAAATAAAAAGTTCCAAGTATCTAATTGCAAATATATAAATTTTAGATGTTAAATTGAGAATTCAATAATAGTTTAGATACCAACTATGTAATTATCCCCATCATATATATATGGTAACGAGTAGATCATTAGTCACGAGAACACCCGAATATTGTCCTGCCCTCCAGCATGTCTCCATAATACAGATCAGTTCAGAACTTAGCTACATGCTGTGGCATATTCGATGTATAGGGGGAAATCTTCACTGAGATGAGCACATGAAATGGGCAATGGGGCATTCCCTTTTGGTGATAAGATTGGTTTCAAGCCAAAAAGAAATGTACATGATTAAATTAAGAGATAGCATGCACATGCCAACAAGTTAGGCTCCTTTTACTAAAAATTTATTCTATATATGTTTCTAGTTCATCAACGAATAAAATCAATATGTTATGCAATGACGAATTGTCATATTCTTTTTCTTTCTCAGACAAGCAAAGGATTATATTACAATTTTGCTTCACATCAAGCAAATTTCAAGTTCGAGTTGTAATATTCCTGTTTCGAACAAATGGTAAGGAGAAGAATAATATCTGATGCTTGTCTTGCAAACGAATCTATTCATATATTATAATTCCAAGTTTAAATCAGGAGTGCAAAAGAATGGTTCAAATTCACAAATGTGTTATTTTAACAGTATCATTTTCCAATATGACACAAACAGACCCAATAAAAGTCTTGATGTAGGAGTTAAATATTGATCATGTTTCCCAATCAAATTCGTCTGGGGCTGGCAGACATGATCTTTTCAATATTCCAACTCAATTCTCAAGAGAATTTGATCATACAATAAACATCTTGCCTTCACAGAATCCAATCCCATCAATGGCTTTCTTTTGAAAATTTTTTATTCTTCCTACAAATAATGAAAGATTCAAATCTTCCAAAAGAGAAGCATAATCACGATTTTTTTAAGTTTTAAAAAGTAACCCATCGAGAGTGGACAAAAACACATATCTGACAAACTCAACAAATGAAGTGGCTCCCCACCATTGTTGGTGAAACATGTACCATTGTTTCAGTAAAGATCACCCCATCTTTCCCCATGCAAACAGATTCCAGGGCATTACTACCATGATAGAAAACTTAAGGAGACAGATATAAAATTGATTTCATGTCAGTGCCTGGCACCAAATGAAAAGTATCACTTTGAAAACATAAAACTTAGGTAGAACTTGACAATTAGACAAAGAGTTTGGTATAATACCATAGGATACATATATTAAAAAAGGGGAGGTTTGTGACTTAGTTCCACTGAGGATAGTTGGGCTTGCCACTTATGCAGGCTGCTTACATGTGGATGCAATAACAGTAATGGGATTTCGGAATGCTTTCAGGTGCTTTGTTTTACCTGACCCCAAAACAAAGGTGGTTGTGCATTTGTATGATGTCTTTTCATGGTGTAACTAGACACTAACCATCTTGCCACTTGTCCAAATATTGTGATGTGTTAAAACATGAGCGATGGGCAACAGCTGTCAGCATGTCCAAAAGGTTGACTTGTTGACACTGTGAATCACTATTGCATTGATTTTTGGAGAGTCTTGGACTTTGCTAGGACCACTATGGCAGACAGTGACTAAAGCTTTACCTCTCTCTCTCTCTCTCTCTCTCTCTTCATAATATTGGTGCTCTTGTCACACAAGCATGGAGTGTAGTATTCTAAGGGCATGGCTTTAGGACCACATCATGAGGTATTCTATTATAAGTTTGTAACTGCCTTCTTTGAGGGGGTGAGTCTTCATGTGATTTACTGTGGTAGCTTCCTTTGCATGTATTTATATCCAGCTTCCCCCCCTTCCACCATCCCAACTCCCAACACTTTCAAGTACTCTATCCCTTTCTTTCTTCTCTATTTCTCTCTCTTTGCCCTTGTGTCTCTATTTGTGTTTGTGAGCATACCGTAAAAATAGTGTCCCAAGCTGAAACCATGAAGCAAAGTTTTCTTTCTGGTGCTCTTCTTCTCTTCTTCCTAATTCTTATTTCCTCTTCCCATTTATCTGCACGATTCATAGCAAACAAACAAGGTAAGTTTCTCGATCGGTATCCTTTTCCTCCTTCCTTCTTTACTAATCTAGAAACTAAAGTTCAGCGGCTATCTTACGCAGGAAAAGAAGAGGTAGAGCTAAGTAAGGTCACAGATAGAGAGGACATTGAACTGATAAATGTAAGCTTAAACTACCTCTTTTTCATCAACTTCGAACCTGTATCCTATAATATTGGCTAAATATCTAATAACGTACTATTGTTTTGGTTTCCCAATGCTTTGCAGCAACTAATGGGGGTGGAAGCATGTGACAGTGGAGATGATGAATGCTTGAAAAGAAGAATAGTCTCAGAGGCTCACTTAGACTACATTTACACCCAGCATCACAAGCCTTGATCAGAATTTCCATACCAAGGATTTGAAGTTCATGTAGCTTCTTCATATTTTTACCTTAGAACCTACGTATATATGTTTGATTTTATTCCATGTATAATTAAGTTCTTCTTTGATCTTCATAGTATGAGAACCGGTAGAATGGCTTTTAAGTTTTAAAATTCTATGTTTGTTACTGAAAACTTATGATTAATGTAAGTGTAACACCTAAGTGCAGCTATATATCACTAGATAGTTTTCTCTGTAACTTTGTTCTCTCAAATTTGTGATGATGATTCCACCAAGCTCATCTTGTTGCGATGTAGTCTGCATATATGCAGAAGATTTGGAGTGTCAGATTTAACCATGGAGAAAAAAACAGAAGCTACAGCCTCGACCAGCAAAGGAAAATGTACAAGGCAAGCCCCAAGTAGCTCCAGAATTTTATGAGAGGGGCCCAGGGAGAAACTTTAAAATCTAGCTAGGTCGGTGACTATGGGATTAAAGCAATTAAACAGACAGTTGGGAATTTATGCTCTTGCGAATTTAGTGAGATAAGATTTCAACTGCATTTTGCTTTCCGCAGTTGGAAGTGTTAGTTCTAGAGGCGTAGGCCGTAGGCTGCCAGATTCCACAGCTTAGATTAATTCTGTTCTTTTGACTAGCTGACTCAGACCACCTCACTTGCTCCAACTCCGGTGGCTAGTAAATATCTGTACTGCAAAGCGTATGATGTTGAAGGAAACAATCAATGCAACCTCTTCTTAAGATAGTTAAAGAAATATGTCAGAATTAATTTAGGTTTCTTTTCAAAAATATTTCTCCTATCTAAAGAATTTTTAAAAATAATTTTTTATAATTTTAATCATTTTTAATAAAAAAATAATTTTAAATAACAATATCTTTAATAAAATCAATTTATATTTAAATCTGTGTCTCATGATTCATATTTTTTGAGATTTTTTCATCAAATTATTCATTTTTAAAGTATTTTTTATAAAAAAAATTAATTATTTTGAGTATTTTGAAATAATTTTTAATACATAAAAAAATCTTTAAACGTTTTGAGTACTTTAAATATTTTAGAGTGGTTATTGATACATGAACAAAAATTTTTGAGCATTTGAACATTTTTCATCAAGTAGACATATTTGTTGATTATGTTATTAAATGAAATATAATGTTGTTTAAAGTTAGATTTTATTGAATAGAATTCAGTAGTTTTAGTAATTTTTACACATTACGTAACCGATTCTTGAACATTATGTGACTAGTTTTTAAATATTATATTATTAATTTTTAAGTATTGTATAATTGGTTGATATGGTATTACGTGACTCATTGATAGTCATTGTTTGATTGGTTAGGAATGTATTACGTGATTAATTTTTAGATATTATGTGATTTAGGCATTATCTAAAAATCAATCACAAAATAGTTAAAAAGCAGTCATGTAATACTTAAAAACTAATCACGTAATGTCTAAAACTAGTTATGCAATGTCTAAAATCAATCACACAATGGTTAAATCATGCAATACCTAAAACTCGGTCTAGCAATACTTAAAAATCAGTGATACAATATTTAAAAATCAGTAATGCAATACCTAATAACTAATTGATTTGCCTTCTTACAATTAAGTTTAAGTTACCAAAATTATATAGTGTTCTAATTTACATATATGTCTTATCAATTGCATCTTCTTAACTTTAGGGTTCTATGAATATAAACTAATAAACTCAAAAACTTAACATGTATATATTTATATCATCTCTTCTCTTGGGGATAGCGAGAAAGAGTTGAATGACGGGGTAGATAATATTTAGTAAAAGAAAAAAATCAAAATTTAATTTAAAATTTTTTGTTTGGGTGGCAAGACAGAGAAAATGAAAACTATTTTAATTTGTTTAAAATTGTTTAGAAGATATTATTGTCAAGTTATATAAAAAATTAATTAAAAATAGTTAAAATTATAATGAGTGATATTTTAAATTAAGCTTATGATTAGAGTTATTTTTCATAATTTTTTTATTAAGTTTTGGAGATAAATGATGAGAAAAATTACATAAATGACTTCATGTTCGAATGCAAAGGAAATTAAACTAAGCCACTTCTCTTACCACATGCTATTTCTCAACATAGCCAGAGATACAAAGAGATAATATTTAATTTATGTAATAAGTAGCAGCGTTGGTTGAATCACCCTGACACTACATGGTTTTCAGACAGACAGCCCTTTTCTACTGTATGGATGTGTACAATTATAATTTCATCGGCAACCCAACGTTGGTGCCTTAGAAATTTACTGTGATCACCTTGCAGAAAGGATCAGAAGCTAATGTCACCCACGTTAAAATGCTTCCTTGCACTTTCCTTTCATGCGACTTACATGAACAAGTTCATCCATTCTAAAGCATTCTGATGAAATTGTTATACTTCAGTGCGAGATGACGAATCATGAGGGGCCGGGTCCAGTGCCTCAATGTTATGCTACATTTAGATGAGGCATTAACTTTCCTTAGATTGATTGATTGATATGGACTTTATACAGGATATAGGAACCAATTTTGTCTGAACGCTGAAAAGACAATGAAATAATACACGTAAGGATATATTTTTTCTTTTGTTTGAATGAACTGCGTTCATTGAAGGCACACCTGTCATGCTTGCACATTTCTAGCTACCTAGTGAAACTTTAAGCCTGTTATCGTGCAGTCTGACTTAGTCATAAAAATCCGTAAACCCCTGATGCACATCTCAGTTTGTGCATGATAAGTGGTTAGAGGGTGCCAGCAATAGTAAAAATAAACTTGTAATTAACACCAAAACTCATATATATATATATATATATATATACCTCAAATTTTAACAGAAACGAGCAATTTCTTAGGCAGTCTGATATAAAGGGCAAGCGTGTTAAGGCAAAAAAGTGCTTGGAGACTGTTTCAGTCAAGACTCAAGATAATCACAAATATTTGAACATCAGTGCTACAAGTGACTTTGAATTCTTACTTTTAAGCTTTTGACCTACAACTTTCAGTTGTGATAGAGAATGAAAACTACCAGCTCTTGTCGATGTTGTTGAAACTTCTCTCTTTTTTCATGCTCTCGATCTTTCATTGCCTCTTTAGTACGCAAAAGACTTTTGTATGGTTACAACACGATAAACACCCAGGGAAACAGACATAACCTGATACACTAAATGGAAGGGTCCACTTGATCGTTCTGCCTTCTTTTGGATAAGATGTTCTGATAGCTGTTAGAAGGATCTTGAAAATTTGTAATTGTACCAATCTTTGTTTCGCCGGTTCTACCTTTAACCGTCCGAAATAGTGCAATAGCAAGGATTAGAGGATGAGTTTGCAATGACAGCACGTCAACACCTCTTCTGGCAACTGATTCTCCAATTCAGAATCAAGAACAGCATAGGGAAAAAGAACCCAAAACATAGATAAATGTAGAGGTTAAGTGGCCAATTTATAGCTCAACATTTACAATTCATTGCACACACCAAATCACACCACCAAAAATGGTTGATCGCGATATCAGGTTTGTTTCCCTACATGCATATGGGACCAACATGGATGTCTCCTTATCATTCAAAGCAATTTCCTTGACATGCCACATCTTACCAGCAGATGCGGGTATCAAAGTCTGACAAGGCCAACATATGATTCACTGCTGCAAGCGTTTAAAGCTTTCCGCTTGGATTGCTGTTGAAAACCAAACCCCATTCTCTAGACTGTAAATCTTACAAAATCCAACAGAGGCTAACCATTTTTTTTCTCTTTAAAGGCAGGGCAGGTACTTGATTATTTATTGTTCTTTTCAGCAGAGAAATTAGTTACAACTGCTGATTATAAGCAAACAAAAGTGAGATAAACATACTATATAATATATATTCTCCCCCAAGCTTTACTATCAGCGTAGTTGACTGATTTTGAATGTTCATGAGTAGTTGAGTACCTAATGCTTCCAGAAAGCTAACAGTACAAATCAGGATAAACTTTTCAGTGTTAGATGTTGAATTAAGACCGTTGAATGTGACCAAAACAAGATAAGTATATGATAAAGCAATGCAAAAGCTGTAAATTACATAAGCAAACACACAAGTCTCAAGAGTATTTGAACGTGGATACTCCATAGAAGGTATAGATGGCAAGCACCATTCTACTAATTTACTGGCAAACAAATTACCATGAAAATAGCCAGGCAGCCAGGATTAGTAACATTACTTGTGACAGATTTTATTGATTGTACATACTTAACCAAAATAAGTGCTCTTCTTCACAACCTGAGAACTTTAATTGATAAGATTCTGATCATATGAAGACGAGAATTGCTCTGACACCCAAGATTCGCAACAAATAGAATCTATATCCTAAAATCCTGCACAGGAATTCTTGTGATTGGGAGAGAAAACATTACAAACAACTAAAATAATGTATTAGAGGTGGCGGAGAGCAAGATTAGAACCATTCCTGAAGCATTGAGTGTCGTGATAGGTAAAAAAGAATAAGACAAGAACATGTAGAGAATGTAAAAGAGAATTAGAGAGAAGTTAGCAAAAAACATTAGGTGAGAATAGGATATAGAAATTTGAAATCTTCAAATAAATTGTGAAAGCTCTATGTATAGAGTTAGAAGTAGTAGTTATTCAATAATCGGTTTAATGTGCGTAATGATGACATTATTATGAAGAGTTTTAATGTGATTAATCGTTATTGTAACCTATTATGTAGATACTAAAATGAGAATTTTTTAGCATAAAATGAATAACGATTAAAAACTCATTATGTGACTATTAAAGTAATTAGACGTAATAAGAGTCATTCTAAAGTAAAAGATAATAGAGAAAAGGTATATGAGAAAAACTATATGAAAACAAGTTAAGAAAAATATATATATGAACAAGTACAAGAAAAGAAGCTATTATAAGAGAACAAAGTAAAGATGAGTGAGAAACACTTATAATTCAAGAAAAGTTTAAAAAGAAGACTTTTTTAGCTAGCTCCATATTTGAACGATTAAGCCAAATTCTTCAAAATATTCCAACATAAAAATAATCCGTAAATCTTGTCACTTATTTTGAATTATTTTCATTGTCATTTGTGTAAAGTAATTATTCCACTTATATTAGTTATTCCGTATGAAGTAGTATCTCACTTGTTTTAATTATTCTGTGTGAAATAGTGTTTCATTTATTTTTCATTTGGCAAATAAATACAATTAAATATTTTAAATAAAAGAATACCTACACTTTGCATT